CTGGGTCTCATAATGGTAATATTAAATCGGATATAATAAAATTGAAAAAAGAAATAGATGATTTGAACACCATGGACATACAGAACAAACTCATTCTTTCTGGAGTATTATAAGACACTATATTCTCAACCTCATATAGACAATGACCAGGATATTAATACCTTCCTGTCTGAACTTGAGTTACCAACAGTGACAAAGGAACAAAATAAAAAGTTATTATCCACAATAACTAAAGAAGAAATTCAGTTGGCAATTAAAAGATTGAAGGGAGGGAAGATGGCAGGGGCAGATGGATTTGGTCTGGAATGGTACAAAATAATGCAGGATTTTTTGGCCCCAACGTTGCTGAAAACATTTAATTGGGTGATGGACAATAAGATCGTCCCACCCTCATAGAATGAAGCACTAATTTCTATCATCCCAAAGGAAGGAAAGGATGGATTGCAATGTACTACTGCAACTATCGTCCTATTAGTGTTCTGAATATAGACTATAAGTTGTTCACCTCTATCATGTCAAGAAGATTAGAAACAATTTTACCAGGGTTAATACATAAAGATCAGACAGGTTTCATCAAACAAAGACAGACTCAAGACAACATTAGGAGGGTTATACACATAATGAGGCAGGTTGATAAGCAAAAATTAGAGACCTTAGTATTGAGTTTAGACGCCGAAAAGGCATTTGATTCGGTGAGGTGGTCCTTTTTATATAAGGTGCTTGAAAAATTTGGTTTTGATAAATCTGGAATTGATGTTATTTCAGGGTTATACAATAACCCAACTGCTAGAATCAAAATTAACGGAGACCTCACTGAATCATTCAGATTGGAACGCGGGACTCGACAAGGGTGTTGCATCTCGCCTCTCCTCTTCGCCTTGTTTATCGAACCTCTAAGCCAGTGGATCAGGCAGAGAAAGGATATAACTGGAGTAAGAACAGTAGGTGGGGAGCAAAAATTGGCACTTTTTGCTGATGATTTACTATTGACTATATCTTACCCCACACAGGTTGTTCCTAAAATCATTGAACTACTACTAGAATATGGCTCTTTTTCAGGGTACAAGGTTAATGTAAATAAAACACAGGTATTAACTCTGAACTATGACCCGCCAGAAGAAATCAAGGATAGTTATAAATGGAAATGGGGGTGGTATTACACCGAGACTTCGCTAAAATGTTTGAAGCTAATTATGGCCCTTTGTATTTAGCAATAAAATTGGATATACAAAGATGGAATACCATACCTTTTTTGGATTTACGTTCCAGGATTGATTCAATAAGATTAAATATTCACCCCCGAATGCTCTACTTATTCCAGTGCTTACCAATATTCATACCTCAAAAACAATTTGTAGAGTGGGATAGAATGCTGTCGAAATATATTTGGAAAGGGAAGAAATCCAGAATTAATTGAAGAAAGATAAAGGAGGTTGTGGTCTTCCTTGTTTACAAGAATACAATTGTGCTGCACAGTTAAGACCATTAATATGTTTGTGTTCTTCATATTACACTGCAGGATGGAAAGATGTGGAGGGGACAACTGTTGAAGCAATACCAGTTAAAGCTTTATTAGCTGACATCAAATTGCAGAATAAGATTCTTTTAACAGATGAACCCATTTCACATGTAATGATAGCTGCTTGGAATGAAGCATTTTAGATTTGTGGTTTGGAAGACACTTCAAAGATCCTAAAATGGTGTGCGTACGATTCGTATTTTACCCCGAATCAGCATGACGATAGATTTAAAAATTGGATTTTAAAAGGATTGACGGATCATTATTCATTTGTCCACAAGGGGGCACTCCAATCTTTTGTATCCTTGCAAAGAAAACATGGATTAGGCTCTGCTGACTTCAGGTATCTTCAGATCAGACACTATTTTAACCAGGACCTGAAAGTGAATTTAAACAACCTAGGATTCGTGGAAACATTTATATCATTAACTCCAAAATTAGGGGCACAAAACAAAATTATATCCAGGTTATACAACAGCATCCTGCGGTGTAAAAAAGACAGCACACACTATGTCAAAGCGAAATGGGAAAAAGAAGGTAATCTGAAAATCGCAAAAGAATGTTGGGAACACATATACATACATACAATGGGTTACAACGAGGAGATGGCTCAAACCAGAACCACCAACAACTGAGGACTGGATAAACATTGTGCAAGAGATCTACACAATGGAGAAACTGTCCTTTTCACTCAAAGTGCAGAGGGACACTTTCTATAGGATATGGTCCAAGTGGACGGAATATGTTAAGCCTGTTAGATCAGATTTTTTTTTGTAATCACTGCTGCTTCTTACTAAATGTGCACAGATTCGAAAGGTAAAATGAATAACATAGATATTATGGAAGTAATTTGGTTTCCCCCCACCCACACCTGAGTTCTGATGTTAATGTAATAGAAAGTTAAAAATGGTAAAGCAACGTAATGTACTCCATATGTCGAACAATTGTGAAATTCAACATGCTTTTTCAATAAAAGATAATAAAAAAATAAAAATAAAAAAAATAAAAAACAAATAAATAAATATTGGACTTCATCCCAAAAAACCCTCCATCTCTGGACTAAATGACTACAGGCCTGTCACCCTGACATTTGTAGTCATAAAGTCCTTTGAAAGACTGGTGTTGGCCCACCTGAAGGACATTACAGGCCCCTGCTGGACCCCCTGCAGTTTGCCTACAGGGCTAACAGGTCAGTTGATGATGCAGTCAACTTGGGTCTGCATCACATCCTGCAACACCTCGACTCTCCAGGGACAAATGCAAGGATCCTGGTCGTGGACTTCAGCTTGGCGTTCAACACCATCATCCCGGATATCGTCAGCACCAAACTCACCCAGCTCACTGTGCCAGCCTCCACCTGTCAGTGGATCACAGACTTCCTGACTGACAGGAGTCAGCAGGTGAGGCTGGGGAACATCACATCCAGCACCCGGACTAACAGCACTGGCGCCCCCCAGGGGTGTGTGCTCTCCCCACACCAACGACTGCACCTCAGGAGTCAGCCTACAGACGGGAGGTTGATCAGCTGGCTCTCTGGTGCGGTCAGAACAACCTGGAGCTTAACATGCTCAAAACTGTGGAGATGACCGTGGACTTCAGGAGGAGCCCCCCCACTCTACCCCCCATCACCATACTCAACAGCCCTGTGTCTGCTGTGGAATCCTTCAGGTTTCTGGGTTCCACCATATCTCAGACCTGAAGTGGGAGCCCAACACTGACACCATCATCAAGAAGGCCCAGCAGAGGATGTACTTCCTGCGTCAGCTCAGGAAGCTCAACCTGCCTAAGGACCTGCTGATCCAGGTCTACACAGCCATCATCCAGTCTGTCCTCTGCACCTCCATCACTGTCTGGTTTGGATCTGCCACCACAAAGGACAGCAGCAGACTACAACGGACAGTCAGGACTGCAGAAAAGATCATCGGTGCCAACCTGCCCTCCGTTCAGGACTTATACATTTCCAGAGCCAGGAAACGGGCAGGAAACATCACTGCAGATCCATCTCACCCCGGACACAACCTGTTCCAACTTCTCCCCTCTGGTAGGCGCTACAGAGCACTGTACGCCAAAACCAACAGACTCAGGAACAGTTTCTTCCCACAAGCCATCACTCTGATGAACAGCTGATTTCTGACTCACAGTGTCAGGAACAATTCCTGTGCACCCACCTACCTCAAGTTCATAACACTTGCACAAAATACTATCTTATTTATTCCAGCATCCTTGCACTATGCTCCATCGCACTGTCTACATGTGTACATGTATGCATGCATGTGTATGTGTACCTGCATATCACATCCACCTCCGACATGTACATAATTAATGATAATAATAACTTTACTCTTGCATCCTTTGCACTCTGCTCACTGCACTATTTGTAAATATGTCTATATTGTTATTGTTAGTCTGGCCCCTCCGCCAAGACCACTTTTTCATGGGAGACCCTGCCAGGAGCAACAAGCTCCAAATAACACAGAACTCAGGTTCATAGGGACACAAACTTCTCCACCACAATAAGGTGATGATTCCCGGAGAGGCAAATGTAATTTTAAAACCTCAAATTAACACAAATTAAAACACAATAACTCTGGTACTGTACATCAAAAGCAACATACAACCATTGACCTGTCTGTCCCATATCTGTCTGTCTCTCCTTCTAACCATGTCTCTCTGTCTTAGGTACTGAGTCTATGGAGAGGTTACCTGGTTATAAACAAGCAACCTGTCAGGGTAAATCACAATCACATATTAAAATCTCTAAACCAAACCAATTACACAAACAACCTTTAACATATTTTATGATGATGTTTGAAATATGTGGCATTTATAAACCTTTTTATATTATTTATTTTTTCCTTACTTGTTTTGACCTATTAAACGGATTATTCTGACCTCTTTTATGTATCACAAGATAAAGCTGAGGGATTGCATTCATTGATTGGGATTGCAGGAGTGTTGCAAAAGGGTTGCAAAGTTATGTTACTTACATTTCTTCTGGACCTTTCTATATTTTTTTCCTTTTGTGTGAAATATATTTAATAGTTTTAGCTGCAGCTCCTCTTTTCACCCTGTGTTGAAGGCTTTGTTTTAGCTATGGAGTGATACATCTTGTCTCTAAATGATCTTTGTTGGGAGTTGCACATGCACAGTTCCTAGTTAAGGACTACTAGCCAATCAGAAGCAGAGAAGGGCAGGTCAGTGAGAAGCCGGTAAACACGGGTTCGTTTCAGCTGTATATGTTCCCCATACCAGCTTGGCAACATGGACTGGAGGAGAGTTTCAGAGTGGTGAGTTATTAATCTGTAACAAAAGTATCTTTCATCCATAAAGTTTTAACTGAGCTCTGTCTCTACATCACAGGAACAACTTTATGTCCACTGACTGCCTGGAGGGTAGCTAGTGTTTGGTAGGGAGAGCTGTGTGCTGCAGCTCACTGTTTTTCCCCCGGTGTTTTTGAGGGCGTGTTGGAGTAGCTGCTTGGCGAGCGTTATATGATGCGCATTTCCCGGCTGGACTACAAACAGCTGTTTTCAGTCAGTTCAGAGCAGAGTTCTCTGTGGGAAACTATATATAGGGTTGTTTTACTGGTGATGACAGGCTGGTTTTAGGACAAAGGCATCAAAGCTTGAGAGATGATGGAAGATGTTGTCTGTGTACAGGTGGAGAGCACTTTCAGCTACCTGGAGATATGTTCCATCAACATTCAAAGTCTCACACAGGTACACTCTTACTGTCATTTCTTATGAAAATCAAACTTTTATAATATGTAATCATCGTTTTTTTCTTTTTTGTTAGCATATATTTTACCCCGTTGACCTGTTGTTCAACCTGTCTTTTCCTCAGTAACGCACTGGTGGCCATTATATAGGAGAGCAATATACTGTAAATATTGTGAAATATTTTGAGATTAAATATTTCAGTTTCTATAGCTGTAAACCCAAAAACATGTTTTCCTGAAAGTAAGCATCGTAAGGGTATGATGTAATCTGTGTGTTGCAGATTGTGTTGGAGACAGACAGGCAGACTCTGTCTTTCAGTGTGTTACATGTTGAAGATCTTGAGGCCATGGTCAGTCACATGACTGCTTCACTGAAGAGGATCTTCCCTGATTCGTCTCCAGGGTGGGTCTAACTCCAAAGCCTGTTACATGTCTGAATGCACACCAGTGAGCAGATCCGCTATTACCTCATATTCTACATGCAGAATTAGAATTTCTGTCTTTACATACAGAATCCCTCTTTTGGGTCCAGTTGCAGATGCTGAAACCTATGAGGTTAAAATATTCACTTTCCACCCAGTAAAGAGATGGGTGGCAAATTAATATACATTCTGGCCATCAGAGGAAACAGAGGAAACAGAAGTGGATTCACACAATTAATTAATTTCATTATTAAAACTACATATAGCTCCTTAATAAAAATGAGATGTTTGATTGATACTCCCTGGAGCACACACAAAAAGAACTATGATTTAGGATAATAAAAAAACAGAGATATCTGTTTTTGCAAAAGAATGCCAAAACTATGTTGTACAGTTTAATTGGGAATCATATTTAATTTGTTTTGTAATTAAAACTCACATCCATTGAAATTTATTCTAAAAAATAAGGTGAACAGTAGGAATTATATTTAAACTGAGACTGTTTCCATGCCTCAGTCGAGCTAATATGAGTGCACAGTTTCATATATTGAAATTTTAATGTGTTGCATTGCTTGTAAACAAAACACGGTATGGAAAAATATTACTCCTGATGGATTTGCTTTCCTGCAAGTCACTTATCAAGGGGGTGGATCTCCGGTGCACAAACTGTGTGTGTGTACAAAATCACTTTGTAATAGAAAGCTTCAAACTGTTTCAGCATACTTGGATGACAATGACAATCCAACACATCTTTGTAGTACTGTACATGTTTCCACATTCCGACATGAACACACACACACACACACACACACACACATTTAATGAATGAGAACGTATCATAATGGAACTGCTGTAATTGGAATTAATATTATAATAGTGGTAAGCTATATAGGATACTATTATCTATACGTATAATGAATCACTAATCTTAGCCCTAATCATATCTTAACAAGACAGAAAACAGTTTTATTTGTGAATCAGTTGAAATGTTGAATCTCAACTAATGAGCTGTTGAAATGTTACAAATAGAGCTACGATAAACAATCTGTAGGCAGACATTAACTAAATAAAGTGTTACCTTATAGCCCAAATACGTTAGTATTATACTAACATTAAACTATTTATTCAATGTTATAATACTGTACTAATACACAAATTTATACAAGTTACTCCTCCAGGTGGATAGAGCCTCTGCAGTGGACAGATGTAGATTTAACGAGAGCCAGGATGCTACTGTGCCAATATGTGCTCCTTTTAGCCGCCTCTCTTTTAGCTGGTACGTGTCAGTGTTAAATACAGGTGCCCTGTCTGCCTCCTGCCCCCACTGCCTTCTTTTCTGAAAACCAAATTAGCGAGAGAATGACATAAATTTAGAAGAAGGCTGATATAAGTGCGATCACTAAAAGTCGCCTATGCCTGCGCATCTTGCTGTCTGAATAATGCACCCTTTAAATAACAGGAAAATACTGCGCCAAGTTTTTGTTGCTTAATGGCGAATTCACATTCTGCTGCCTCAAGATAGCAAGCGTCAACAAACCACACCTCATTTTAAGACCAATGGGCGCACAGATGGTTGCAAGTAAATTTGCTACTTACACAACATACTTGCTGCATGGAAAAATGACAACTGCGTTGGTTGGAAACACTGCTTTGACACTTGCTGTGCGCTGGGTGGACGGTAGGGCCATTTGTCTTGTTATACAGTATGTCAGTCTTAAACAATATATTTGTTGCCCTTCAATCCTCAGAAAGCTGTTAAAGACAATTCCTCCAGATCTCCAGCAAAGACTCCTCACACTGACTGGTGTAATAGAAGAGCAGCTGAATAGTCAGCCTGGCCCCTGTGGTATGTGCCTTGAATTTTACAGTACAGGTCTTTGGCTATATTGTCATTGTCTATGTTGACATGTAAGAAACCATTTGTACTCTGATGAAGCTGAATATAACATTGTCAGCTTTTTGACAGACTGGTGTCTGACCATCACCTGTTAGTTGACCTTACCTTGTGATTTCAATATTAGCTATGTATCTAGTAGAAGTAATGTTTTTGTACTTATTTGTAAGTAGCAGATTTGCACATTTAGCAAGATGATCATTGAGTTGCGTTTCAAGGAGACTCATGTTTTTGCAGATCGATAGTGTGTTTGAATGTGTGTTCCCCAGGAGGATTCTCTGATACCTATGCTGCTCTGTGTGATTTCAATGAGATGACATTTAGAGAGGAGATTCAGTGGGTAAGTAACTACTGTAATGCAACATACAAACACTTCAATATATGCCACTACCAAACTTTACAAGGAAATTTTGCCATAAACTACTTATTCAACACTTTACAGCCACTTCCCAGTAACTAAAATGTTAGCACTGGTGAATCCAAATAAGGCATGGTTAACTGTTTTGGCAGGATGTTGACAACATCTACTACATCAACAAGTGTAGACATTTCAACCTGCAGGACTTCAGCCACTTAGACAGCAGGTGAGACACAGTACTGTTCTGTTTCATCCAATCTTACCTTGCATACTCCTTACAAATTCATCTCATTTCTCCTCAACTTTCCTCTCAGGGACTTGGCATTAACAGTTGCAGCTCTGTCTTTCAACCAGTGGTTTACCAAGATCTACTGCAAAGAACTCAAACTGGTATGCTTTCTTATTAGTTCATTTGTATGTGTTTTTCTGTTTTTAAAGAATTGTTAAAGGGTTTGTGCTCTTGAATTTTAAAAGAAGAGAGGTGCGTGCAGACAAAGTCCACAATGGCATTAATGGAAAAGCTGCCTGCACACTGACAGAAAACGTAGAAGATGCACTTAATATGTAAGAAGAAGAATTTTATACCCTGTGCAAAAGGTGACACAATGTAAAAAAAATTGATTTTATTAATAATGTGACTGATCAACCCACTGCCAGTGACTCTATAAGATAACTTAGCTGAATTTTTTGAAAGTTTAGCATTTTTCTATGGTTTAATAAGAGGACCAAAAAGTGCCTTCTTACCCTTGCCAGTATGACTGAGCTCTCGCAGTTTGCCGGCTTGTAAATGAGCAGATCTCGCACCCAGCCACTGCAAAACTGTGAGCTCTAAACTAAATGGTAAATCGTAATCAGATAACCACCATAGCAACCAGAAAGCTCGCAGATAAACAGAGTGCGTACCTCACAAGGTGGCACTCCCAACATGCAACACAACGTGACGGTACTCACATTACTTATACATAACTGTTACATACATTGTCTTCCTTCATTGCATGAAGCTTTGTAAAAAGACCTTGCTGTTTTTGTAGCTTAGCTAACATCCCTTGGCTTCCCTCACCTTTACATCTTCTGTTTCTTCTGTATTTCTTGTTTTGTGTTTCCTGTTTTGTCTCAAAGTGACGACTCAAGTTGTAGTTTTTGAATACAGCAACATGTTCATTGCAAACTAAGCACACAGTTTTAATACCAACCACAGTGAAAGATTTCTTGGCAGTGCATGAACTATTAAACTCTCTACATTTGGCATCGACCTTACGCTTTTTAATGCTCATCTGTAGCAGGTGACTCCATATTGTACCTCCATCGACTGCGTTGCACAAACAATTTTAAAATCCCCACTCACACAACCTTACGTGCCTCAGATGCAGCAGCAGATGACGCTATGACTTCAAACGCTAACGTCAATGTCAACTGTGACAGGAAGAAGCACAGTCATGACACACAAGCAAATCAAAATAAATGCCAGGTAATGTTTTTAGCTCATTAAATAAAGTGGTGTGGTTTGTCTTAAAACGCCCGGGCCAGGCAGAACCATCATAAGGGCCTTAGAATGCCCAGGTCCAGCCGAGATGGATAGGGTAATAGGATAGATATAAAAAGGCCATTAAGTCTGCGTTGGAATACATGTAAGCTGCAGTTTCATTTAACTGCCAATAGACAGGGACGTCACTAGGATTGAAAGACAGGGTAGGCTTAGCCAACAGGGTATGCAAGAAGCCAAGATCTTAGCAAGTAAAAAGCGTCAGACATATTCTCTTCTTCCACTTCTCCTCTGTTGAACAAAAGTTACTGTAATTCTAGATTTTAGACACTTTACTTAGGCCAGACTGTGTTCCTGCTGAGTTCTTTTGTATTACTTTAAATGCTATCTGTCAACTCATGTAAATGTGTGATAAAGTAATACCATATATAATGCCTCTCTCTATTAGATAAGTTGCAGGTTCAAAAATGCTATTTAATTACACTAATTGTGAGTGTGAGTTTGCTCTATAGTTTGGCTTGCATACGATAAATACTTTATCATGTAAGCTGTTAAGGATAAGGATCCTATCAAGGTTATTATCATTAACAAAGACGAACGAAATAATGAAAACTGAGTTCCGGGTGTGTTATGCTTTTGTCCTCTGCGTGAAGAGCAGGCACGCGCCGTGTTGTGTGACTGTCCCACCACGATTGCAGCTTTATCATGATGCAGTGTAAGCTGTGAAAAAATGCTGCATTAAGTTACTACTAATGCAGCATATTCACAATAAAAGCATTTAAGGGGCAAAACACACGGCTTTTATTTTGAAGTAGTCACAGGAAATGCAATCTGTTAAGTTAGTCATGTAGACTGCTACAATGCATCAACGCGTGCGTGATTTTCAACTGTTTACTGACATTTACTCATTTAGCTGATGCTTTTATCCAAAGCACGCCTCTGGCTACTCAACTTGGGGTTAAGTGTCTCCCTCAAGGACACATTGGTGTCTCACAGTGGACTCGAACCCGGGTCTCTCACACCAAAAGCATGTGTCTCATCCACTGCCCCATCACCGGTCTGCTGTTTACTGACTGCAGACCAGTATGAAATATGGCAGTGAGCAATGCAACAGTCAGGAGTAGCAGACACAGAGAGCTGTTAGATACAGAGCTGCACACCTCCACCTTCTCAGCCAGGTAACCAGCTCCTGGATATTGGACTTCCTCACAAACAGACCCCAGTCAGTTCGGATTGGTGGACTCACCTCCTCCACTCTAGTGCTCAACACCGGAGCCCCCCAGAACTGTGTGTGCAGCCCCCTCCTGTTCACGCTGTACACCCACGACTGCATCCCCCAACATGGAGAGGACTCTGTTGTGAAGTTTGCGGATGACACCACCATCATCGGCCGGATTTCAAACAATATCGGGAGGAAATTCATAATCTTGTAGAGTGGTGCTCAGAGAACAACCCACTGCTCAACGTCAGCAAAACCAAGGAGCTGATCACTGATTTTAGGAAGAAGGAGATAAAGACACACACTCCTGTCTACATCAGTGGAGCAGGTGAATAGTTTTAAGTTCCTGGGAATCAGCATCACAGAGAACCTGACATGGTCACCTCACATCTCCATGCTGGTGAACTGTATTTCTTGAGGAAGCTTAAGAAGGCCAAATTCCCGTATCAAGTTCTTGTCAGTTTTTACAGAGGAGCAATAGAAAGCATCCTGACTGAAAACATCACTAACATGGGATGTGCACGGCTCAGGACCGGAGGGCTCTGCAGTGGGTGATTAAAACTGCTCAGAAGATCATTGGTACCCATCTCCTGAGCATCAGTGATATCGGTGAGGTGAGGTGCCTGCAGAGCCCAAATGATACTAAAGGACAGTACCCACCCAGCCACAGCCTGTTCACCCTGCTGCCTTCTGGGAAGAGATATAGAAGTTTCTGCTGCCGCACCACCAGACTGCAGAGCAGCTTTTCCCCCCAAGATATCAGACACTTAAACTCTTAATTCATCCTCAGCACTGCTCCAGTGATGGTAGTTTATTTCTGTTTACCATTTTTCATAATTGATTCTGTATTAATGTTCTGCTATGTAGCAGAAGGGAGCTACAAAACTCAATTTCACTCTATAACTTGTTATATTGTGACAATAAACCTGCCTACCAATCCTCTATGGTTCATCTGCCAACGCCCTAAATAAACTTCAATACATCCAAAACTCTGCTGCCCGCCTCCTCACCTGCGCCCATGACCACATAACCCCTGCCCTCCAGAATCTCCACTGGCTCCCTGTTTACCAACGCGATCAGTATAAAGTCCTCCTCCTCACTCACAAAGCCCTCTATAACCAGGCCCCTTCCTACCTCACAGAGGTTACACCATTGCAGCCCCCTCACTCTGGAACTCCTTACCCATACTCGTCTGTGACTGTACTGACCAGGACACATTCAGATCACTTACCAAAACCTACCTTTTTGTATTAGCCTCCACCCTGGAATAATATTACATTTCACCTGCTGTTATTTGCTAGTTTTATGATCTCGCTCGCTTTGTGTATTTGTATTTATTTATGTATTGTATCGATTTTATTGCTTCACTTGTTTTTAATGTACTTAATGTACTGGTTTTGCTGTAAAGTGTCTTTGAGTATCCTGAAAAGTGCTATAGAAATAATAATAATAATAATTATTGTTATTATTATTATTTTATATTATAAGCCAGGCACAAACCGGCACCACTGCTGGGGCATCTCTTAATTTACTGAAATTTTAAGTAAAAGCAAAAGTATTAGTTTGATTTAAAATTTGTTTGATATTTCATTTCAAACTATGATGCTATCCAAGATAACCATTTAATGTGATTTGTAATGAATTTCAAAAGAAGAAAGTCACCAGCTAGCCTCAGAAGCAAATGACCAGCAAAACCAGTAGCTAATCCAGTGGGTATGCTAGCCCTGGCATGCTAGTTAGCCTCGGAAGCTAATGAGCAGCCAAGCCAGTAGCTGATCTAGCAGGTTGATCATTTTGGACTGTCTGTCTCTCTCCCTTCAGTCAGTAGACATCCAGCAGCAGCTGACCTTCCTGCTGTCCAGATCTCCTAGTCTGGAGGAGCTCTCACTGGAGGCCAGTGGACTCAAACTGTAAGTTTAAAAAAAAAGTGCCATTATGCAAATCAATGCAGTCAGCTTGCCATCTGTAGAAACAGGTGGGTAGTGTCATTTATAAACGATTTTGAATAATGTTTACATGACTTGTGAGTAACAAGTAGTCTCAGTGAGCGATTCATTCATTTTCACACGTGTGGATGGTCTTGGACAGCTGCATAGGCTTATTCAGTAGAGGACAGAAACAGAAATTATTAGTTCGTCACTCAAAACTATGGGTCTTGGGCATAAGCGGAGGTAGCGTTGGAGCATGGGGGCGGCCAGCCCAGGGCCCCAGCTGGGTAGGGGGGCCGCAAAGTCTACGTCAGATGATTGTCGACACGGCTGGACAAGAGAGCTGCATGCAGTTCACTTCCAGGAAGAGAATTGTTTCTGACCCTCCAAAGGCATGCCAACTGGTGTTTAACAGAATCTTTGGTCTCACCATAGGCATTGCCTGTTGCTTAGCTCGGTGAAGTTTTGTTATAGTAGTATGTAAGTTATCGTTGGCTGGTCTGGTAGTATACTCATGATTTATTTATTTGAAATATGAGAAAAGTAGTTGTCTTGCTCAAAGCGAGCAAGTGCTGTTTTTGTGCTGTGTCTTAACCAATCATATGACATCTTGACTGTATCAGCAGAGGATTCAGGTCACAAGTCACTTTACTGAGGTGCATCTTTGCACCTACTTGGTTTTCATATGGTTTGAATTGGTTGTGGCACTGGGACTGTATAGGATAAAGACACAGAATGATCAAGTGATGATGAAGTGAATTAGTGCATTATACTTTGTCAACTGAAGCAAACAAAGCAAAAAATGTAGCCTTCAGTGTTTGAGAACAGCACTCTTTTTACATCACCAACATGAGAGCTACAGCGCTGCACTAACTAGTTAAAATGAACGAAATGAACACAATTACTCCAAAAAATATTTGCTCACTTTACTAACCGAGATTTAAAGCTCCGAGAGAGTAAAAAGACTTAAACTTCCCATCACTGCAGGTGGGAGTTTCTTTCAAATGAGGCAGCAAATAGTGAGTTGTTGGTATTTTGGTGGTGAGGTCTTTTTTTTCACTAAGAATGAAGAAGAGCACACACTTAAGGCATCCCAAATAATCCCAAATCAAAACACCCAATAAAGAGGGAGGGATAGAAAACCAGAGACAACCCACGGATAGAAATGAATGAAAGAGTAGGGGAAATTAATAAATAGAATAGTTAAACTTATAATTAAATTCAAACACTTTAAGCTATGAGTGCAAAGTTTTTGCAGCTGCATTTATAAATTTTTTGTGACTCAAATATGAGTTATTATATATTATTGGGACCACTACCAGATAGCTCACTGTGGTCACATGGACAGTTAAAGGATTTAATCATTTGGTGAAAAGGGGTAAGGTACTGGCAAACTTAAAGGCACTCTCTGGTGATGTCATTTTCCTCCAAGAAACTCTGTGATCCGTTTTGCACCTACATGAACCAAACAAGGTGTGCCTTGAGATGCCCACACAGTCCGTGTACACACTTTGCATCATTTTTCATTTTGTGCTGACCATTTTCTCCTGGTCTTTGGGCTTGCACATTTAAAATAGGTCCCAAAGCGTGTCATGATTGCTGTCCAAGGTACAGTTCCTGGGACCCCGAGCAGATTCTTGTTACTACTTGGAGAGATTGCAATCATTACAGCTGACTAGTTTTGCCATTTAAAACATGAATATTACTTCTAATTTACAGTATGGTTTACAGGCATTGACTGAGGTTGAGAAGTAACTTTGTTATTCTGCTGCAGAGACTTTGCAATTAAAATGGCAGCTGCCTTGCGGGAGCACACCTCCTCTACCCTGCAATCCATCAACCTCTCAGGAAATCCAATCGAAGACAAAGGTGGGTTTTTTAGATATCACATCTGAGTAGTGTTGTAGTCAAGACCACCCAAACCTAGACAAGACCAAGACTTTTAGGGGCTAAGACCAAGACCAGTGCCCACATTACATGTCACACAATAAAATGTGGAACAAGATCATAGGTTAAAATTGATCTGAAAGATCCACATTCTCATTAAAACACCTACATACCAACATTAAGAGCTGAAATCAACTTAAGCATCTTTATTCAACACTTCTTTTCCATGTTAACCATCCACTTAACACTATAGCTGATATATGTACCAATGATCTTCTGAGCAGTTTGAATCTCCCGCTGCAGAGCCCTCCGGTCCTGAGCCGTGCACATCCCATGTTAGTGATGTTTCCAGTCAGGATGCTTTCTATTGCTCCTCTGTAAAAACTGACGGGAATTTGGCCTTCTTAAGCTTCTTTAAGTCGTTTCTGAGCTTTCTTCACCAGCATGGAGAGATGATGTTTATTCCCAGGAACCTGAAACTGTTCACCTGCTCCACCTCAGCTCCACTGATGTAGACTGGAGTGTGTGTCTTTATCTCCTTCTTCCTGAAATCAGTGATCAGCTCCTTATATGACATTAAGTATCATGTCAGTGAGTGAGCATGCACAATACCGGATACTGAGCCCGGGAACTGGCTCACTTAAATGGAATATAGCAATCATTAATGTTATTTATTCCAGCTGTGCTGTTCCTGTTTTGACAAGTCAAAATATCTGCTGTGAAAAGAGTCAAGGAACGGCGACTTCAATCATATCAGTCATTTTAAATGAACGTTATTGATTTAATATTTCTTGTGCATAAAGGGTACTTTAGAACAGCCAACATGTTTCCTGGATTGTAGATATATTTTGTGTGTGTTGTGTTTGCGTTGCTAGGTGTAATAGCTCTCAGTCAGGAGTTGGGGAATCTAGCTGAAGGACTCAAGCACCTTTCTCTGTCCCGGGTATCAATGACTGCTAGAGGTACACACACAAACACATGGACATACACAAACTACACATTTTACAACAACACACTTTAGTCTGTATTTTATTTTATTTTTATAAACCAGGAGGAAGAGCAGTATGGAGGGTGGAGGGTATAAATAGGTGGTGGATGTCACCTGGACAGTGTACTATCTGACATCATACACCTGCATTTACCTCCTCCTACTCCTAATTCTCCGACTTCTGTCCTGCAGTTCTCCATCCTGCTCTTCCTTCTCAGAATGATCAAAGATTGAAAGGGTTGTGGTTTTTGGGATCTGTAGCCTACAGCCATCAATGAAATTTCAAACTAAATGCAATGATTTCACAAAATTGCCTTTGCATCCAATAATCCTCCTTGAATACCATGATTGCCATCTCTTCATGGTCTTTTTCCAGGTCTTGGCTGTCTGAGTCAGGTTTTATCCTCCACTCAGATGTTATCAGCATCTCTGACCCACCTCGATTTGTCTGGTAACCCAGGCAGTCTGGTTACTGAAGAAGCCACGGTACACTCTGCTCTATGTGTGTGTATGTTTCATATCAAATGTTGTGGATTGAAGATTATTTTACATACAAATAATACCCACGTAGATACACATACAATGCACATACTGTATATATAAATCCAGAAGTGGAGCTGTAATTCAAAAAAGGATTTGTCCAGTTTTCTTGAGGTTACAACAATGTACCTTTTTACTTAAATTGTATTTGCAAGTCTGGAGTCAACTATAGGGTTTAATTGTTTCAAGTCAGGTCACTTCTGGGTATGAATGAATATGAATTCCTGTTGGATCTATTGTATCTGTTTTAATATGTATATACGAAAAAGCTGAAAGTCCTGGTATATATACAGGGAGGGATCTTCTACATAATCCAGTTATTTTGTGAAAATAAGATGAATCAATGTACTTTCAAGCAACACTTTAATTGTGCACTCCACAGCAAACCATGCTTACACAGTATGCATATTTATTATGTGTGTTTGGTGTGTCTTCCAGTTTCTCTTCAAGTTCTTGTCGAGTACTAACTCCTTATCTCATCTGGACCTCAGTGATACCAACTGCCCTCTGGACACGGTCAGTGAGAGACAGTTTAAACAAATGTTGTATCCGCTTCCCTGCCCTAAGGCTGTTTGATTTCACCTGAAGGAATAGTTTGGAACATTCAGCTTTCACATGATATCAGAATAACATTCAAAGATGGTTAACAGAACATAATTACCTATTACTTCCTAACTTATGCGGTATAATTAGGCAACATAATATGACAAATGGTTCAAATAAATAGTGCCGTACTAAATGGAGTTAGTATAGTAAACATTTTCAACAATGACTCCTACTGTGTCGGATTACTCTGACACTACTGTAAAAAAAAAACGGGGAGGGCCCTCAAAAAGCTTGCAAATTGCATTAGGAAATTTGAAAATGAAGGAAAAAATTTAAACAAAACTATGCTCAGCTCATACTGTGGCTATACTAAAAGTATTTTGAAGTATTAATTTCCTGCATTTTACACCTGTCAGTCAGTTTGAGAGTGACAGCATGTTCTAATCCTGTATTTTCAGTTTTAATTCTGGGGCTACCTTCGTGTATAAATTTATACTGTGATTTCAAGTATTACGCAGGATAAGCGGTTGACGACGGATGGATGGACTTAAGTATTATCTGCTTATTCATAATCACAGATAGAAACTCCATTCAAACCTTATATTAAAATATTCTACATCTTTTCATGCAATGAGGTCTGTTCAACATTCCAATCCTATTCATACTAATTAGACCCTTTCCCTTGTTTCCAAGTCTTAATAGACCTTCACACAAACTTAAGTCTAACAAAACTTTGTCTGCAGTTTAGCTCCAAGCCATTTTGAACCCGCACATCAACCTCTCCTCACCTGAAACTGCAGTGCTTCAGCGTCAGGTGAGGGAGAGCCCAGTATGCGCTGCACAGTTTCCGGTCAGGGTTAGCTGCAAGTTGCCTCGTGTGTTTGCTTTAGCTATTCATAATGGTCCCCTTCTGCCATTCTTCTTGATAGCATCTTTATAAACATTGTTTGTTTATCAAACGGGTGAGGTTTTTAGAACCTTAATGATGAGTCTCTTGGTCTTTGCAATACCATCTACCATGTTGAAAGTGGTGCCATGTGATTGGATGAATTTTGATTGGATGTCAGTGTTTCTATCGTTCATCGAACCTTCAGACTAGCTCCCCCAGATTTCTTTTACAGGTGAAACTCGAAAAATTAGCATATCGTGGAAAAGTTCATTTATTTCAGTAATTCAACTTTAAAGGTGAAACTAATATATTATATGGACTCATTACATGCAAAGTGAGATATTTCAAGCCTTTATTTAATATCATTTTGATGATTATTACATACAGCTTATGAAAACCCCAAATTCTAAATCTCAGAAAATTAGAATATTGTGAAAAGGTTCAGTATTGTAGGCTCAAAGTGTCACACTCAAATTAGCTAATTAATCCAAAACACCTGCAAAGGGTTCCTGAGCCTTTAATTGGTCTGTCAGTCTGGTTCAGTGGAATTCAATCATGGGGAAGACTGCTGACCTGACAGCTGTGCAGAAAACCATCATTGACACCCTCCACAAGGAGGGAAAGCCTCAAAAGGTGACTGCAAAAGAAGTTGGATGTTCTCAAAGTGCTGTATCAAGGCACATTAATAGAAAGTTAAGTGGAACTGAAAAGTGTAGAAGAAAAAGGTGCACAAGCAGCGGGGGATGACCGTAGCCTGGAGAGGATTGTCTGTCAGGAAAAGGCCATTCAAATGTGTGGGGGAGCTTCACAAGGAGTGGACTGAGGCTGGAGTTACTGCATCAAGAGCCCCCACACACAGACGGGTCCTGGACATGGGCTTCAAATCAAGCCGCTCCTGAACAACAAACAACGTCAGAAGCGTCTTACCTGGGCTAAAGAAAACAAGAACTGGTCTGTTTCTCAGTGGTCCAAAGTCCTCTTTTCTGATGAAAAGCAAATTTTGCATTTCATTTGGAAACCAAGGTCCCAGAGTCTGGAGGAAGAATGGAGAGGCACACAATCCAAGATGCTTGAAGTCCAGTGTGAAGTTTCCACAGTCTGTGTTGGTTTGGGGAGCCATGTCATCTGCTGGTGTTGGTCCACTGTGCTTTATTAGTCCAGAGTCAGCGCAGCCGTCTACCAGAACATTTTAGAGCACTTTATGCTTCCTTCAGCAGACAAGCTTTATGGAGATGCCGACTTCATTTTCCAGCAGGACGTGGCACCTGCCCACACTGCCAAAAGTACCAAAACCTGGATCAATGACCATGGGATTACTGTGCTTGATTGGCCAGCAAACTCGCCTGACCTGAACCCCATAGAGAAGTTATGGGGCATTGCCAAGAGAAAGATGAAAGACATGAGACCGAACAATGCAGAAGAGCTGAAGGCCGCTATTGAAGCATCCTGGTCTTCCATAACACCTCAGCAGTGCCACAGGCTGATAGCATCCATGCCACGCCGCATTGAGGCAGTAATTCATGCAAAAGGGGCCCAAACCAAGTACTGAGTACATATGCATGATTATACTTTTCAGAGGGCTGACATTTCTGTATTTAAAATCCTTTTTTTTATTGATTTCTTTATTGATTACATCAGTCACATATTCAGTTTTTATGTAATATTCAAATTTTCTGAGATTTAGAATTTGGGGTTTTCATAAGCTGTACGCAATAATCATCAAAATTATCAAATAAAGGCTTGAAATATCTCACTTTGCATGTAGTGAGTCTATATAATAGTTTTACCTTTTAAGTTGAATTACTGAAAGAAATTTGCACGATATGCTAATTTTTTGAGTTTCACCTGTATATACATTTTCAAATATGAAATAGTATTTATACTTTGGCTTGTCTTAATACTTGATGGTTATTATTTACTGAGAGATGTACATCTGTATTGTCCAGTGCACGATGGTGGCTGTCTTGAAGCAGGTGGGAACGCTCTCCCATGACAATGAGATGTTAAAAATGTCAGTAATAACACCAACTAGCTGACTGGAACAGGTTTTTAGTGCACAGCCAGGGATGATATCAAGACCAGCAGCTTTACTCATATTCACTCTCAGGTGGACTCTTCTGACATCTGCTGTGCCAAGCTTAAGAAGGCCAAATTCCTGTGACAAGTTCTTGTCAGTTTTTACAGAAGAGCAGTAGAAAGCATCCTGACTGATCACTAACTGGCATGGGATGTGCACGGCTCAGGACCGGAGGGCTCTGCAGCAGGTGATTAAAACTGCTCAGATCATTGGTACCCATCTCCTGAGCATCAGTGATATGGGATCGGTGAGGTGGCTACACAGAGCCCAAAGGATACTAAAGGACAGTACCCACCCAGCCACAGCCTGTTCACCCTGCTGCCTTCTGGGAAGAGATATAGAAATACAGTATCTGCTGTTGCACCACCAGACTGCAGAGCATCTTCTTCCCCAAGGCTCTGAGACTCTATTGAGAGACTAAATTCATCCTGAGCACTCCACCATGTAAAATAGTTTTATTTGTGCTTATTATTTAAATATTTTTGTATATAACATTTGCTTTGTAGCATAAAGGGAACCACAAATTGCATCTCAACTCTATTACAACCAAGGTACATGGTTGTAAACACTTTCATGGTGTTTTTTCTCTCTGTTCATGACCAGTAGGCTAGATTGAATTTCTAAATATTGTCAACTGCTTTGACTCGATTGGGGAAGCAGGGCCTTGTGTTATTTGCTGGGTCCTGCAACTTGTGTAGTCAGAGCCAGTCCTGACCTCCCTAGGGCCTAGGGTTGGGCGATGTCTACCAAATTTCCATCAGACGATGTTTACATTGAAACTTGGGAAGGACGCTGACATTGGAGGCGTGGGGGATAGCGGTCGTCTAATCTGCGTCTAATGTGTTCACTCGCACAGACTTCACTCGGAAAAATATTGGTAGCCTATGATGTTACATACAGATTGTTGCAAATTACTTTAAATAATTAATAATCCTGGCCATACAAATTAATACCAACAACATGAATATTGCACACCATTTAGTATGATGTCATTATAGAGACTGACCCCCAACTGTGTCTGACTTCCAGCGTCCCTGATGAATGTTTATGATTATTGAAAAGCATTAACAAATTAGGAGGGAAAAAATGGAATAACAATAAAATAACCCTTAACCCTAAGGTGTGTGGACTCAAATTAATTATTTTATTTGATGGCCTTGCTGCTCTGACATTTGGTTTACACAATATTTGCATCCTTCAGCCCATTACTACTTTTTCAACTAATGATAGTCCTTCCTGCACTTTTTCATGCATTTTACAACTCTTATGTACTCATTCATAATTTCTGCAAAAACTCAATTCAAACCATATGATGTTCCACATGTTTCATAAGTTATTGATGTTATTCAACTTTAAAAGCCAGCAATCCAGTTTAGTGTTAGCCTTTCAACACAAGCTGCTTCTATAGTTTGTATTGAACTTCTGTGCCATTCATAAGATGCCTTCTTTCTCTTGCAGTTATTTGTGTCCCTGTCTGCTGGATGTTGTTACAAACTGATGCACCTGAACCTGGCCAGGAATCCTTTCAGCCACAGGTCAGCTCCACTGTTCCAGTTCAGTAATGTCACTGTTCCTCAGTTTGTTAGTAATCCACTCAGCATTACTGAGACACATGGAATTCAGTATTGTTGCACCAGTAGACTCATTACTTCCCATACTGTATATATTTGCATTATCATTGGGCATGTATCATCACAATACTTGGGCCACCCTTAGTATTATTTATATTATTATCTACAATACTATCTACACTAGTTTTTACAATGTATTAATTGTATGTAATTCATTATATAGGGCATAGCAGTTCTGACTCGATAATTAGACAACACTACACACCTATATTCAGTTAAGCCATGAATAAACCTAATTGATTACACTGGTGCTTTTCTTGTTGTGACATGTTAAATGTTTACAGTGAAAAAGGCATGTAGGCATAGCATTAAAAAGGCTGGGATGTTAAGGCAACATAGATGATCGGGAATAAGGAGTACTTAGTGTACTGAGACTAATGGGGTAAATGCTGGGCTGGTGTGCAGACAGGTGATGAATCAGGTGCAGGTGACAAGCTGAGTCAGAAACACATTGACGACAACTAGTGGCAGGCCTGGAATAGCAGTCTGAGTTGCAATGATGATGAATCAGCTGGTTGTCAGATGTTAAAATCCACTTTAGCAGAATGCTAAATAGTGTGGTTCATAAAATAGCGTTTAATAGAACCTTTGACTGTGCTTGTGTGTGTGTATGTATGTGTGTGTAGAAAGGTGCGGGAGGTGACCAGGAGCATCCAAGAGTTCTTCAGTCAGAGCTGTGAGCTAAAATATGTGGGCCTATCTGCAACCAAACTACCTCCACAAGCCCTCAGGTGTGTTTACTCCCAACAAATGCAAGAATATACAATTCTTTTTTTTTTACATGAAAATTCATTATTTCTCTGAAATTGTAGTTTGACAAAATAATCTTAATTCAAGGTCCTCTGTTAAGATGAGATGCGAAAAGAACCTTGAAACAGTCAGTGGAGTCTGTACTGCTAGAGTGACCGAAACAGCTCTGCTATAACATGTATGTTTTGTTTTGCAACTAGGTTGTTACTACAGGGTCTGGCAACCAACACTCGTCTCTTTGGGCTAGAGTTGGACCTCAGTAGCTGTGAGGTATAGTACACATTCACACACAAATGCAAAAAACACCTTTTGTGATGAGTAGCAGAAACCACAGTGAACTAAATTATTCTATGCCTGTGTGTGTGTGTTTGCGTGTGTGTGTGCATGTTTGTGTAGCTCCGTTCAGCAGGGGCCCAGGTAATACAGGAGCACATCTCTGAAGCTACAGTTATTAGAAGTCTGGATATTTCTGACAACGGTATGCAAAACCACACAAGTACACACACCAACTCAAAGAGGAAAACTAAATCATACTATATGCACAACAAACCTACAATTTCAACACTTATCTGAAGACGTTATCTTGCAATTCAGAAATGCTTACATGTAACAAGACCAAGGCCACATATTTCACAGTGGTAAACCAGTGTAATTGGCCACTGACCATGTTCACGTTGAATATGATCAGAATATGTTAAACATATACCACTGTACTGGGTGCGGCAAACCTAATGTAGGTGTTAATTGGTGAATGTTTTACTGATATTTTGCTATGCTAGTTAGACTAATGTATTACCTCCTGTTACATCCAATTACCATATACAATTAAAAAGACATTTTGAAACAAGTAAGTTACATAAAGAAATAGACATGCGGACGTATCACAGATTACATTAGGAATATTACCTTAATATTAGAAATTAGATAAAAGAACAAGAATATACTAAAGTCAGTGCAAAGTCACTAAACTCTGTCAGGTACAGATAGTTTGACATTTTAGGAAATATACTTATAAACTTCCTTTCCTGGAGTTAGATGAGAAGATTGATACCTCTCGCATATCTGTATACTAACTATGAAGCTAGCAGACAGTTAGCTTAGTTTAGCAAAAAACATGGAGAAACGGCTTTGACTGGCTCTGTACAAAGGTAGTTAAATCCACTAAGCAGCATCTTTAACATTCACAAGTAGAGCCCGACTGATATAGGATTTTTAGGTCCGATACTGATTTCGATATTTAAGATTTTTTAAATCCGATAGCCGATATATCGGCCATTGTTTCTTCCCCTTATTTTAAGAAACACATGACATAAACAAAGATTATCCCTAAAATGTTGTTATCTTGAGACCATAACAAGATACCATGACATAATGCAGTATAACAAGAAACTTTGAACAAAACTACAACAAAATATATTAAGGTTTTGATAAATAAGAGTCAAATAAAACTACAGAAACATTTTTTAAATTTCTGATTTGTTATAAATTATAGGCCTACTACTAATGAACATTAAAGTGTATTGTGGGGGCCAGCAAAACAGAAATTACAATAAAAACCTATATATTACTACTGCTACAACTAATAATAATACCATATATCATATCTCATTGTCATTATTATTATTATTATTGTGCAGTAGTTATTACCTTACATATAATCTGTCACAATGACTTTCTACTATGTACCATATTCACATCTAGTTTATCCCTTTACCTGCACTGTTAATTCTATCCAAAGCTACCAGAAACCATTTCCGGACCAGCACCTGGCTCTAAAACATATCGTCTATGATACAGTAACACAGAGGAAACACTGCTGTTTAATTAATCTAATACTAAATGACAGTCTACAATGAGGACCTGCAGCTTTGAGATTTCGCACTAACGTCTCACATTCAAAAGAAGAGGTAACGTTAGAAAACTTTGTTAGGCAGGAAGCTGTGTTAGATTCTTGTACAGCTCACGTTTATTCACAAGTCCGCTCTGGTTTAATCATTTCTGACACACCAACTATAACTGTAGCTCACACATGTATTTAGAATACGTCAAACACTATAGTTTAATCTCTCATTAACGTTGGCGCTCCTCCATTGATATAAACATGGCATTGGCTTTGTGGCTAATTTAGCAGCATTAGCTGCAGCCATCTGGGAACATCTATAGAAGTTTCTGCTGCCGCACCACCAGACTGCAGAGCGGCTTTTCCCCCATGCTATGAGACTTTTAAACTCTAATTCATTCTCATACTGCACCATTTTGAACATAGTTTATTTCTGTTTACCATTTCATGATAGCTTTTGTATTACTGTATGTTGTCTGCTACGTAGCAGAAGGGAGTTACAAACTTAATTTCACTTTATAATCTGTTGTAATGTGACAAATAAACCTACCTACCTAGTTTGGGTGCTGTAACTGTAACTCGCGAGAGTACATTTACATTTTAAAGGAATTCTTGCCGGACTATTGAATATCCTGCCTCCTTCATAACACATAAACCACAAGTTGTTTTATTAGCAGGTGAAAGAACAAATGTTTATCATTATTTTGGTTTGTGAAGGTGCATTTTAATTAATTAATTATTTTATTTAACACACAACTCAGAGGTTTAATTGAAAAGTGGTTATCACTGATGTTATTCTCATCAGGAAGCTGTTCTCACTCTCAATGCGTCACATATGGACACATGGTTAAGACCCCTTGGCCTCAGTTTGTAATACACTGGGCTGGCGTAGGATGTAAAGAACAGAAAAGTCAAAGTGAGGTGGAGATGGAGGTGATTGGGTGGGCCAGAAACCAGACATTTCCCGTATGAAACAAAAAGTCAACATTGATTGTTTTTAGTTAAGTTACGTAGTTGCATAAGTGACATAAGTAACGTGATTTAATTTACGTAAGTTAAGTCACAAAAGTACGCAGTTATTTAAACCCAAACCACAATGTTTTCCTAAACCTAACCAAGTAGTTTTGTTGGCTAAACCTAACCAAACTGTGATGTTTCACATAAACCACTAGTTTTATTTTGAAAGTCAAAGTGGACTTAGATATTGCATATTTATTCTTGCTAACCTTTGCTACCTTGACCATGGAGCCCTACATGTCCAAAAATGACACTAAAGGGTGTTAAAAAACTACGCCCAGGGGTCTTGATAATTTGCTTGGTCAGTAACCTTTTTTGTTTGGAATAAGAGTTGCAACGCCACTGCCCACCTCTCATTTTCTCTTCCTCTCTCAATTTTTATCTTAATATTGACATCAATCCTCTGTTTTGCTCCCTCTCTCCCTGTGTCTGGTCGTAGGTTTTGAGAATGATATGGTGACTCTGGTTCTGTCCGTCGGTCGATGCCGCTCTCTTCGACACCTCGCACTGGGGAGAAACTTTGCCTTGAAGTCAAGGTCTGGGAAACATAATACAAAGCACTGCTGGACATTGTACATGATCCTTTTACTCTACAACCATGTCTTCTCCTGGGATCAGCTCATTACATAATAAACTTTATTTGTAGAGCACTTATCAAACAGAGTACAAAGCGCTTTCATAAAAGATAAAAACATTGTAATCATAGTCAGACATAATGTGCACAAAAATGAAATACCAGATAAAATCTGAAAACGCTTTCTGGAATAAATATGTTTTCATACAAGACTTAAAAGAAGACACTGACTCCGACATCCTGATATATATATATATACATGGATTTATTTGCATAAACATTTGTATACAGACAGCTGGAGACTGGAAACTGAAGTCATGGTGACCATGAAGCTACTATCCAAAGTTTAAAACTTAGTTCACTGAAAATGTCCAAGGAAGGTTAAAATCAAGGGGAACTGGACTTGATTGAAGATACTAGACGAAGTTTCGTCCCTCATCCAAGAGACTTCTTCAGTTCTGACTGACTGGTAGGGAAACTCAGCTATTTAACCTCAGTGGAGTCGTTTGCCAAGATTATCGATACGGCTGGTTTGTTAGTGTTCCTGGCTGTTGTAACGACGTTTATATAATATATAATATTAATAATAACATATATCATCTCTGATGTCATTGCTGTCATAATAATGAAATACAGGACTCTTCTACCTAGGCAAAAAATTATACGTATATTTTGCCATGCAATAGTTATATATATAATCTGCCACAATGACTGCTTTCTACAATGTAGCATTTTCACATTTTGTTTATCCCTTTACCAGCACTCTGTTAATTCTAACCAAAGCTGCGAGAAACCATTTCCTAACCACCATCTGGCTCTAAACCATGACCCTGTTTTACCCTGTTGATAACCTATGATACAGTGACCCAGAGGAAACGCTGCTCTTGAATGCATTTAATGCTACAATAAGGACTTTGAGATTTCATTTGATTATATTCATTATAATTTCAGATCATAGGCTACTATATATATACCACCCTGTGAAAGCAGGTTTTAATCCCCATGAACATTATTATTATTATTTTTAAATATACCTGCTTTGCACCTGCCTCAGACTTCTCTTCTCCCCACAGACACACACACACACACACACACACAAACACACACATCTGCACCTCTGGTCTCTTACTGCAAACACTCCAACTTGCCCGCCTCTCTCTCCCCCCATCTGCTCCATTTTCTCCTTCAGCAGTAGACCTATGTTTTATAAAGTCGCCTAAAAGACACAGAACTCATCTTTTTTGTGGAGTTTTCCACCCGTGATCTGTTATCACTGCAGGAGGTGAGCCGCATGCTGGCCTGTTAATGACGCCTATAGCCTAAGCCTATAAAACAACCGAACTCTGTGCTCACTGATGCTTTACCTGGTCCGTCTGGTAAGTCTGTGCGAGTGAACACATGAACATAAGACGAGTGCTCCCAATGAAGACATCGCCCAACCCTACTGCTATCAATCTTACCATTAGTATAATATTTACGGTGCCCCCCTGGGCCCACTTAGTCAAAAAAAATAATTAGAGTTACCTTGTGGCCTCAAGAGAGTAACTCGTGGCCTGTTTTCTTGATGAAATCGTAAGTGTAGGCAGTTGGGTATGATTTTGTGTTGTCAGCATCTCAGGTTACATTTTAGATGGTTTCTGTAGTCTGCAATTTTCCTGGCTATGCTTTCATACTCCCGTACCAATCTGAGGGTGTTCATCCCAAAATGATTAGCAAGATGTCTGTGAGGGTTCTCCATACGTGTCTGGAGTATCAGAGAAACTCAGGAGGATTTTCAACAAACACCACATCCCTGTGTTTTTTAAACCCAAGAACACACTAAGACAGATACTGGTCCACCCCAAAGACCGCACACCCAAACACAAGAAAAGCAATCTAGTGTGTGCGGTCCAATGCAGTGAGGAATGCACAGACCTGTATATAAGTGTTATATCAACTACTATGGCTTCAATGTGTGCCATTTTATGCAAGGTATTGAATAAATATTGGTATAAGTATCTCTTTAAGGGTACCGGTTTTGGTACTGGTATCGTAAAATTTCCTCCTCCATCTCCTCCTCGTCCTGCTCCTCTCCCTACCCCTTCTCTTCCTCCTCTCACTACTCCTCCTCTACATCCTCCACCTCCTCTTTACTCTACTCCTCCTCCATCTCCTCCTCTTCCTCTTCCCTCACCTTTTCCTCCTCTCTCTACTCCTCCTTCACTCTCCGCAGCGTCACGCAACTTTCTAAACTCTTCCATCTCACGGAGAAAAGAAGTCAGGTCAAAACGAAATTTGCTTTATTGGCATGAATGTTAATACAACAGTATTGCCAAAGCTAAAAGAAAATACAAAAATACAATTCAATTCATATAGTTAATTGAATAAATAAAATAAAATAATTTTATTTCTATACACTGGATATAAAATAATATTATCTAATATTGTTAACTTCTCTACGTCTTCTTTCATTACGGCTGTGTCTCCTTGTCGCAACAATAACAGCAGCCATCTCTGCGCAACACTTGGCAGTTTGCACCTTCATTTGAAACGTGTTAAATACAGATGCTGTTGCACTCGCATGAAATTGCATTTAGGCTTGTTAGATCACATGCATGTTACCCTCCCATTACTTTGCACAATAAAATTGCATATTCATTTAGGCAAAAGTACTAAATGAACAACAGGTGCTTATCTTGCACTTTTGAAAGACGTCATTCTATGTGCACACCGTTCGTGGATCAGCTAATGTAATAATTTGCTGGTGATATAACATTTGCACATGTTTTTACACATGTTTTTACTCTGGCCCTTTGTGTTTCCACCTGGGTAGCTGTGTGCTAATTGTGCTCAAGTTGTGCTGACTTCAGTGAACAATATTGAATGTCAGTGTTTTCTAAATAACACATGGTGTAGGCGGGTGAATCGTGTATAGTTTAGGGAAATGGATGTGCTTTTTGATCAATGGCATTATGGTTTTGAAATTTTACTTCTAATGCCTGGTGATAGTGTTTAACCAACTGAGAACTGGAATATAAACCAAACACAACAGAATCAAGGTACATATATTTTTTCATTTTACAACAGGGGTTGTATAGTGAGATGAAGAGAGATTGCGATGACATAAACCTGATGTTACTGGCAAAAGTATGTGATGTGACGGTATAAAGCAACAGTAAAATGCTAATATAACGCTAGGACTCTTAACCCCTCTAAATAGGAATGAACCTATTTTATTTGACATCAGCCCTTGTCACAGCAGAAACCGTGGTTCAGCCTACAGTTGACTTTCCTGCATTGTGTGCAGGGTCCAGGCTGCCATGCAGCGGGATGTGCAGTTATGCTCACCGGTGAATCCTTGTGTGAGCGGTTGGTCTAGCAGTTTTGTTTCGGGGTCGACTACAAGTGTTTATTTAAGTAGTGTCCTCCTATGCCTCCTTAAATCGAACTGCCATATTCAGATTATGTTGCTGATTATATTTCTTCTGTCCATCTTTCCTTAATGCTTTCCTGTCTTGTTTGTCAGATTTCTTGTTGTTTTTGGTTTGATATGTACTCTTTGTGTCTACCAGAGCTCTCACTGATGTTCTTCATCGTATAGCTCAGCTCATTCAGGACGAAGAGTGTGTGAGTGTCACTTCCTTTTGTTTCATTCACTGTCAGTCATTAGCTCCCCATTTCAGTAAATTATACATACAGTGCATTATGTACAGTGAGTAAGTGGATCATTTGTTATACATAGCCATGTACATTTATGATTATTAAAACAACAATTAACAGTCTGTATTTCAATACATTTTTTCAATGTACATTTATTTTGCAATATCTGTCACTATAGAATGCCACTGTTTCATATATACTTGTGTGTGTGTGTGTGTGTGTGTGTGCAGCCCTTGCTTTCTCTATCAGTGTGTGACTCCAAACTGAAGACAGGGATGCACATCCTGCTGAGTGCTCTGGGTGGCCACGCTGCTCTGGCTGAAGTAGACATCAGTGGAAACAACATTGGTGACACTGGGGCCAAAATGCTGGCCAAAGCCCTGATGAGTAACACCAGACTGAGGTGCACAGACACACACATATACACACACACACACACACACACACAAACACACACACATACACACACACACCAGCCAAAGTCTTGGACACATAATTACAGGCACACTAACCCATTTTCTTTCTCTCTCATTGTATAATATTGCGTGCTTTAGAGAATACTGCCAGCCTTGTCCTTTAATGAGCAGAGGAGGTATCATGGTTGCATTTGTTTCTGGAACTCATCTTCAGTATAATTTCTCCTCTTTTCATTAACAGAGCATTACACTTTTTTTGTCCCACATCCCAACTATTATTTATCATATGTTATTATTCCATTTTTACTTTAAGCTGTGGGTCCACTGTTTGCCACTAGATGTCATCATTTCATTATTTGAAACTAACACTTGGTATGTGATTGGCTGCAAGAGTGTATAATATTTTCTGTGTTCATGTTATCATTTGAAGTTGCGTTCTGTGCCTATAAGTCAAGCACTAAAACTTTACTCAGACAATGTTGATCTCTGTAGGCCATCTTCAACCAGACTTAGAGTGACCGTTCTCTCTCTTTCTTTTAAGGTCTCTAGCATGGGACAGAAACAATGTAACTGCCAGAGGTTTCCAGGATGTGGCTGATGCCTTGGAGAGGTCATACATTCACACATGCAGACACACATATACACTTTAGATCAGATATACTACAAGTCACACAACAGCAAAAGTTGATTAATCCTAAAAAACTAGTGGTGGTAGCTGCAGTTGTTGACTAATGCTGTTCATCAGATTACTATCATGTCTGTACAGCCTTTGCAGGCTTCACTTATTATTGAACATCTTTAAATCACCAATGAATGCTAACCATCAGAAGTTGACATTAACATTTTTGCTAATAAACACTTTGCAGGGCTTGCTGTACTAATCCTGGACAATTGATCAAACCCACAATCTAGTAACCACTAAGCAATCAGTAACTTTAGTCCAGAAAGTATATATATAATATATTTTATCTTGTGAGCAGATGTGTGAAAGATTATCTTTTGACCTATTGATAGATTTAACTGATTTTTAATACTTTAATTTTAAGAAGGAACACAACAGGCGACTCAGTCCAGACGCAGGACCACACACTTCTTGTTTATACTAAACAGTTTCAGAGTGGTGGTTCCCGGGACTTGGAAACTCTTTAGGGCTGTCCCCAACTAAAGATTTACATAGTCGAATCAGAATTGTCAGGTGTTGCCTAATCGACTGATCTTTGAATCATGATGGGGGGTGGGGTAGCACGGTAGCACAGCTTTAATCTTGAGATTACGGCGCTGCAGTCTCTATTCATTAGTCACTGTAACTTACACTGTACATTTACAGTCAAACTGAGACTTATTGTTGCTTTTCTCTCTGCTCTCCCTTAGAGCTCTTCCTTTATACAGTCTATGGATCTCACAGAGACTTCAGATATAAACAAACATGGAGACAGACTTTTGTCGTCAACTGTTTGTGCTATGATCTGCCCAGAAGAACAAAAAAAGAGAATCTGAATGCTAGATGAATTGATTAACTAATGATTGAGAAGAAAGAATCAATGGTTTATACATTTTATAGCGTGAGCAAATACACAACACGTGGTGACCCTTCCCAGTGAGCTCGCTCTCATTGGCTGCTGCGGTTTTTCCTCCAATCCAGTTGGTGACCTTAAGATTATGTCTGTAAACCCCTCATACTATAGGATCATATGGGCCAATAATTGGTTCCAACCAGCCTTGGCTCGGGAATGCCCCCCCAGTGAGTTTCCTTTCTCTCCCCCTCTGCTATGTATGCCATGTATGTAGGCCATGAATGTCTGTACAAAATTTCAAGGAAACCATCCAATAGTTGTTGAGATATTTTAGTCTAGTGGTGGACCAACCGACTGATAGACCGACATTGCCAACCCAAGAACCATGTAGCTATCATGACTACAAGTCTAAAGTCAAGTATACTGTAGTGCACACTATGCATGGAGGATTATATCCATTTGGATAGATGTGAATTTTGATGGTAGGGTTCTGTCTTGTACAGGAACTTCACTCTGCAGCAGGTATCATTCCCCCTGGCTGATATCACACAAAGTTACCGTAGCAACCCTGAAAGAACAAAAGAGGCCCTGTACAAGGTCAGTGTGTATATGAGTCTGTATAAGCATTTCAGGTGTTTTTGGTCAGTACGGTTAAGTTTTTGCATACTGGGACATTACTGTGGGTGTTTGGGTAGCAGAGCAGATGTAGTGGTCCACCTTCATATGAAGGCACTGTGGTGGTGAGGAATGCAGGTTAAAATGTTGTCATTAGCTTACGTGTGTGTGTATGTGTTTGGATGTCTGCAGATTCAGCAGTGTTTAGACAGAAACAACCAGAGACAGTCTGACAGAGTGGAACTGCAGCAAGTGTTTAGAGCTCAACAATCTGAAAAGGTGAGAAGTATAATAAAAAATGTATGGAACATTTAGTTGGAGGTCAGTTAACAATAGTAAAAAATACTAAAATACTATTCATTTTTAACTCTCTGGTATAAAAGAGTGGTAAAAATAACATATTTTGATTGTGATTGTCAGTAAGAGACATTATGTTCAAATATTAAAAATTATAACAACTAGATGTGACTTTTTTAGTCAAAGTTTTGATAAAAAGGAAAAGGGAACATACTACTACTTGAAGGAACTTTGCTTATTAGTTTATTATGAACTAATAATGAATGATTTTGCTGGTTAAGGTTTATGCAACATGACCTGCATCATGCCTGATGTCTGTTCTCAGTTGCTTTTCCTGTGTCCTCTCCAAATAAAGCACAAATTCCAACAAACAAATCTTTAAAATAGTTATAAATGTTCTACATGCACAATTGTAGGGAATAAAGTCAAGTGCTTCACCCAAGCACATTGTAATATTAATTCATTCACGGCTAGTAAAAAAAACTATATTGGCCCCATGTGCTAGTTCCTGTCTAGGTCTGTATGTTTACCTCTGTCTGTCTCGGTTGTCCTCCATTTTAGCGGATCCAGGGTATGTGTCAGCAGTTGGAGGACAGCCTTCAACGTTTAAATCACTGCAACATTCCGGAAGTCCAGGGTGACATAATGACAGTACATGAGGTGCTGCATAATGCCAGGGAGTCCTTCAAGGTAGAGGCTGCTTAGATTGGTTTGGAAAACCACTATGAATTATGTGATCTTGGGTCAAAATGGTCACCACTTTAATCACCACTTTATTACATTTATACCTGTAATTCAATCCAATATAACAGTTCAGTCATGAATTCCACCTCCACAAATGATGTTCCTGTTCGGATTGACAGTAAAAGGTGTGTGTGGGGGGGTCCTCCTGTGTTGTCTGCCTGTTCTCCTTGACAGTGACAGTGACACAGAGCGTCCCTCTAACCATAGTACTCACTCTCACTCCTGCCTGCATGTGCACGGTGCGAGAGGCGAGGGTGTTAATATACAGTAACTGTGTTTATTAATGAAGTTGAACTGAGTACAATATATTGAGGAATTGTTTCTAATAATTTGTCCACCTCATTTACAAACTTGAGGAGGGAAGAACATTCAATATAATACAGTCTAGTAAAACACCACCAATAACTACCACCTCATTAATAAACAAAGTTGAATTAACAGCTCTTGGAAGATAATGTGTCAGAGCTGTTGTACTGGATTGCATTCGATTGTAAAGATGTATCTAATAATGTGGCCCAGGAGTGTAAATGATACGTTATGGCACTAATGTTTTGTTGTCTCTCCCTCTGCAGCTGCTTCCATCCCTCTATGAGGCAGGCAGGAAGTGTGCCTCTGATGGAGACTTGGTGAACTGCATCCTCACAGACAGTGCTACTGCACTGACTAATGAGTTCAATAAAAGCATAGAGGTACACATTTATAAATACTCACTGTACACCTTATCACACAGGCTCAAATGACAGGATTGCATACTGTTCGGTGAAAAAAACAAGGGTTTCAATCATTTGTAGGCTAGTTCTACTATTTTAGGCATTGTAGTGTGTTGGATTACAGAAGAAGGTTAAGGCCATGTTGTCATTTTTAATTTGTGTTATAGTTACAGTCAGGGCTTGACCTTAATGTTTTTGCTCACCAGCCACTGTGGCTAGTGGTTTTCCAAAGTTACTAGCCGCACAGCTTTTTCACTAGCCACATTTTTGTTGATGGGAAATCACGTTTTATATGATTAAAGTTGACTATGGCATGCCTGACGATTTTGAACATTAAAGACTTATTATCTGCTCCGATTTCTGCCTTTTCTGCACCAATTTATGGTGGAAAGGTTTTTTTTTCTAAAAAGGGAAATACAAAATTTAAGTGGCAGGTGACAATTCAAAATATAAAAATAGAATAGAATATAATGCAGTGAGGCTCTCAGAATCAGAAGGAGCTTTATTGCCAAGTAGTGTTTGGTGATAAGGTGCTACACGTAGACAAACATACAGTTGACATAAATAAATGTAGAAATATATAAATATGAAATAGACAATTCAAGTTATATAATAAAAAGAATAATAAAAAGAATAGAGAAAAATAATAAACTATTTGCAGAGAAAGAACAACGTCGCAGATGTGTAGACGTGTTGCAATGTTAAAGAATATTGTGTACATAAATATATAAATTGACAATATAACAAAGATTAACAATTAACAACAAATATGTGCAATGTGACAGGTTTGTGCATGATATGAAATGAAATAATATTTACATGTGCAGAGATATTTGTATTATTTGAAAGGGGGGAGTGTCAGTGGGGGACCCAGGTCTTGTTAATGAGGCTAGCTGCAGACGGGAAAAAACTGTTTTTGTGGCAAGAGGTTTTGGTCCTGCCAGAGGGGAGAGTAATAATAATAATAATGCATTACAGGACTGGGAGCCAGTGAAGCTGTTGGAGAACAGGAGTGATGTGGTGGATGGAGGGTGTTTGAGTTATGATGCGGGAAGTAATTAGACTGTGAACAAGAATGGCGGAGTAGTAGATGGAAATAGGCAGACCGGGTAATGTTATTGAGAGTCTGAAACAGTTTGTGTCCGGGGTGGGAGGAGTCAGCTGCAATCTTTCCTGCTCGCCTCAGAGTCCTCGAGGAGTACAGGTCCTGAAGAGAAGGAAGATTGCAGCCAATCACCTTCTCTGCAGAGCGAATGATGCGCTGCAGCCTGCCCTTGTCCCTGGCAGTGGCAGCAGCGTACCAGATGGTGATGGAGGAGGTGAGGATGGACTCAGTGATGGTGGTGTAGAAGTGCACCATCATTGTCTTTGGCAGGCTGAACTTCTTCAGCTGCCGCAGGAAGTACATCCTCTGCTGGGCCTTCTTGGTGATGGAGGTGATGTTCAGCTCCCACTTGAGGTCCTGGGAGATGATGGTGCCCAGGAAGTGGAAGGAGTCCACAGTGGTGACTGGGGAGTCACACAGGATGATGGGGGAGGGTGGGGCTGTGCTCTTTCTGAAGTCCATGACCATCTCCACGGTCTTCAGAGCGTTGAGCTCCAGACTGTTCTGGCTGCACCAGGTCACCAGATGGTCGATCTCCCACCTGTAGGCGGACTCATCCCCACCAGAGATGAGCCCAATGAGGGTGGTGTCATCCGCAAACTTCAGGAGCTTGACAGACTGGTGACTGAAGATGCAGCTGAGAACGGGGGAAAGAATGCCTGCAGGTGGAGTCAGGCACGCTCAGCTGGGAGAGCTTGTCCTGCAGCAGGGCCAGGATGATGGTGTTGAAAGCAGAGCTGAAATCCACAAACAGGATCCTGGTGTAGGTTCCTGGGGAGTCCAGGTGCTGGAGGATGTTGTGACGGGCCATGTTTACTGCATCATCTACAGACCTGTTGGCTCTGTAGGCGAACTGCAGGGGGGGGCTCAAAGCGGCAGTAGAACTGGTTCAGCTCATTTGCCAGGCGAGAATCGTTTATGGAGGACTTTGGGTTTATAGTTTGTGATCTGTCTGAACCCCCTCCAGACAGAGGTGGCGTCGTTTGCAGAGAACTGGTTCTTTAGTCTCTCTGCGTACAGTCGTTTAGCTTCTCGCACCTCCCTGCTAAACCTGAACTTTAATGCCCTGCACACGGCTCGGTCACCACTCCTAAACGCTTCCTCCTTTTCCAACCTTAGCTGTCTGAGTTTAGCTGTGAACCAGGGTTTGTCATTGTTATAACTCACCCTGGTCTGTGTTGGAATGCAGCTGTCCTCACAGAAGCTGATGTAGGACGTCACAGCCTCTGTAAACTCATCCAGATTGTTGGTAGCAGTCCTGAAAACATCCCAGTCAGTGCAGTCCAAACACGCCTGAAGATCCTCTACAGCTTCATTAGTCCACTTCTTTGATGTCCTCACTACAGGTTTACAGAGCTTTAGTTTCTGCCTGTATGCAGGGATCAGATGGACCATCACGTGATCAGTTTGTCCGAGAGGAGCGCATGTGACGGCGTGATAGGCACTGCTAACTGTGGTGTAGCAGTGATCCAAAGTGTTCCCCTCTCTGGTTGGACACTTTATAAACTGTCTGTATTTGGGGAGTTCTTGGCTGAGATTTCCCCTGTTAAAGTCACCGAGAACAATAACAAGGGAGTCCAGGTTTGTCTGCTCCACACACAGTATCTGGTCAGCCAGCATGCGCTGTGCGTCGAGCACGTTTGCATGCGGCGAGATGTAAACACCGACCAGAGTGAATGAAGCAAACTCACGGGGACAGTAAAATGGTTTACAGTTAATGATAAAAAATTCCAGATTAACAGTTCTGCTGAATCACTGCCACGTCGGTACACCAGCCATTGTTAATATAAAAACAGACACCTCCACCTTTTGTTTTGCCGGAGAGTTCTGTATTGTGGTCCGCTCTGCAGAGTTGGAAACCAGCTAGCTGCAGCACCGAATCCGGTATCAGTTCACACAGCCACATCTCTGTGAAACACAGAACAGAAGATGAATAAAAGTCTCTGTTCTTCCCCTGTTTTTTATTATTCACAGGTTAACAAACCAAAGGTTATATTGTATTTAATAAAAAAAAGCTCTTCTCTGATAACACAACTGTTTTTATTGAATCGTATTCATCTTCAGCCAAAACAAAATAGTCTACATTAAACGACAAAATAATAGAACATGGCACAACTAGATACACAGGGAGATCATGTAACAAGCTTGCAACAAACGCATTAAAGAAAAAAGTAAAATACATTTTAACTGTTTTGAATTCTTTAGACTAGGCTATATAATGCTTCAATATAATGTTTGATTTATATTGAAATGTTGTATATGTGAATGTAATATTTTTCATAGACAATAAAGAGGTTCAAATATATAGCCTAGGCTTTTCTTTACAATGAATATTAATCTCTTCATAAAAGAATATAATATTTATTTTTCATAAATATCTAAAGTCATGTTCTTAATGAATTATTCAACACAACCACAAAATGAATGTCAAATACTTTCAGTTTTGTGATTGTAATAAACACAATTTTCCTCAACATCAATACAACTGTTGTTTATTTGATAAACATATTATAGCAGCGAGTACAGCGGTAACGTCAGATCCTATTTACTCTGGGGGGAGAGGGTATTTGGCCGCTGTATGTAGGCTACACCCTCCGCGGCTTAGGGAGCTCGATTTGGCTGTGAGAGTGACTCCGACCAGAGTTCACTGCGTGTCCGAGTGGAAGTGGCGAGGGTCTTGTTTCGGAAAGGCCCATCATCTTCTTCCTAGTGTCCTCTATAATCACTGGTACAAATATTGACAATGTCATTTCAGTCTCATCCAAAAGGCATGATCCCAGTAGAGGCTGGATAACAATTAGGTCGTGATTAATCTCTATTAACAGATATCCAAATATGAATGTAGAATCCGTAGACAAGGGACAAGTTTTTTGTATCAGAAGCGTTCTTGTTTCCGTTTGTAGTCTAATTAGTATTGACCAATTGGACATGTAAACAGTCTGTCCTGAGAGCAAATATGGCTGACCATATTGGCCGAAATGCAGTCTGAAAACCCACTGATTGTCGTCTGAAGATTGCTTATAGGACTGTAAACAATGACCGGCACACGGAAGAGGAATCTTGGCCTTGATATCCGTTATCTGAATGTCCGCTGACTAAACTAGAAGCCCTGAAACATTACCCGTTTCCACCACAAGCTAGATTGTTGTTAAGCGATTCCAAGATCGGGTAGTAAGCAAGCGACAACCTCCAGGTCTGAAACGTGAAGCCGATAAAGAAATGCCTTAAACCTGCATTCTTTTTAATGACCAGCAGGGGGCAACTCCACTGGTAGCAAATAAGTCCCATTGCATTGTAGTCAATGAGAAAATGGTCCTACTTCCCCTCTAAACTATTACCTCAATAAATACTTTGCTAATGAGTTCATGGTCTCAGTAAATGATTTCGTAAATGATGGCCCCCCAGGGCTGTGTGCTCAGCCCCCTCCTGTTCACGCTGTACACCCACAACTACATCCCTCGACATGAAGACAACTCTGTTGTGAAGTTTGCAGACGACACCACCATCATCGGCCGTATTTCAAGCTTAACCCCTTGACGCCGATTGTCGCAAATTCACATCACACCTCTTCCTTTCAGACTGCAAGCCAAGATAGCGCGTGGATTCCCAAAAATGCCTGTTAGTAAATATTCGATACGTACTGTACCTAGGAACCTTTTGCAAGCCCTGGTTTGTCGTTTATGCCTCTTGTCGCTAATTTGCGTCATACCTACATCATACCTGAATTGATATCTTTTCTATGTTCTATTTTAAAAAAAATTTGTATTGTAAAAAAATTCAGGCGTCAAGGGGTTAAGCTTAAGAAGGCCAAATTCCCGTATCAAGTTCTTGTCAGCTTTTACAGAGGAGCAATAGAATCATCCTGACTGGAAACATCACTAACATGGGATGTGCACGGCTCAGGACCGGAGGGCTCTGCAGCGGGTGATTAAAACTGCTCAGAAGATCATTGGTACCCATCTCCTGAGCATCAGTGATATCGGTGAGGTGAGGTGCCTGCAGAGCCCAAATGATACTAAAGGACAGTACCCACCCAGCCACAGCCTGTTCACCCTGCTGCCTTCTGGGAAGAGATATAGAAGTTTCTGCTGCCGCACCACCAGACTGCAGAGCAGCTTTTTGGATGCACCTTACTAACCAAGCTAGCTCCACCATCTTACCCAAATATGGTCACTTCTGGTTCCAAAAAGCAGAGATGGCGACGGCCAAAATGCCAAACTTGAGGTTTCAAAACAGTAGTCCACAAACGAATGGGTAATGTCACAGTGACTACGCCCAGTTCTTTAATTGTGACACTTCTTTTAATGGTTTCAACATAACAGAAAATCTACCTGGCTTAGGTAATTCAATTCAAATTAAATGTAACATTGGGTATAGAGAGTCAAGCAAGTCTTCAGTTGACAATCAACTCTGATTTGGTTGAAATTAATATTAGAGCATTTGCATTTCTATGTACTCAAATGCATTGTTTATGCACAAAGCACGACAAATGAGGTACCTGGTTTTGGAGCAAAATTTAGTTTGAGGTTAAACCACTATGTAGAACAGTAGTGTTGGTTTTGTGTTCCAGTTACACCATAATAACCAATGGTTAGTCCTGAGTGAATCCCTAACATAACAGAATAAAACATTTTTCACGGTGTGAAGGTTAGATCCCAGTTCAAGCTGGGTGTTGGGAGAGGACTCTTTCTTGTTGGTGTCAGTCTTGACTTTCTGATGATGCTCGTCTCTGCCATGCTCAACTGCCAGTCTGTTTGTTCTAGGAGTTGGCTCAAGGCCTGATGAGGTGTGCAGAGGCAGTGTGTCCACGGGTGGTCCAGCGGTCTAGTGTGTTTGAGTCTCTGTCAGACTGTGTGTCCAAAAGAAGTAGACAGACACACTCATTCCTGAGAAGCACCCTGGTGGAGAACACAGGGCAGATCATCAGCAACAGACTGCGGTAATAACATTTATGTATCATTTCAGTCAATTTAATAAACCTAATTTACACTGTATACCAGTATCACAATAGATACTGTATAATTGGACTCAGTTTGCCTTTCCCTGTTCTGACTCAAAGGCATCTGTCCTTATTTACATAGAAATAGCAAGAAATATCAAACAATGAACAATATTTTGCAGTCCAGTGACCTCTGGTACAGTCACTACATCTCTAAAGGTTTGTCCTCATAGGCTGAGTTGATTTTTGAATGTATCATTGACTAGTTTGATAACTAACAAGACATAAGCAAAGCTAAATACATCAAGGGATACGACAGACAGACAGACAGACAGATGTATGTCTAATATATTGGATTGCTCTAAGTTGTGCTTGGACTACAGTCAGTGTGTTCATGTCTAGATAGGAAATAGATGCTGCACTGAAATACAAACATACAGATATTAATAATCCAATATTATCTTTTTATTACTGTAAACAACTGGTTGGTTCATTATAACTATTGTCTTCACTCTTCAAACTGATGCAATCAGTGTATTTCCTCTGTTCTTTCTTTTGATGCATGCATCCAGTGAACTGAGACAAACACTGAGTGTCTCTCTGGCTGAATGCATCATAGAACAGATACTACAGGATCTAACAATGGCACAGGACAAAATGGTAAATGTTTGTGTATTTTGTTTATATATGTTTGGCCTAGACTGGAAGCTGCTAGCTCCATCAAAAGTGAAACATCACACCTTTCAATAAATCCAGTGCTTCTGTTTATGTCACTCTGTAAGATGGCAAACTAGAATATCTCCTTATAATGTAATTATTGATATTATCTTGCATATTATTAGGAAACATCACTTCTTCTCTGTGTGTAAATATGTTTAATATATTGCACTCACAGTTGGTGATGTTTTTCTTTATTTACTGTTTAGGATTGCCTTATAAAAGAGAATTCATGCATTACTCTGAGAATCAACATCCCAGAGCTCCGACTGGTTGACAGCGACTTCCCAACTGATGATGTAAGGGACACACACCGGTCTCTCTTTCCATTCATTCTGCTATTAACTTATTCATTTATGTGTTGGATTTTCCATTGTGTTGTTACTTTTGCTCTCTCCATCACCAGTATAGTCCAGCATTTTGGAGAAATAGTTTCCACTCCAAGAGCCTGAGGCCTGCTCCTTCAATTAAGAGTAAGAATCAACCACTATTATTATGTGATCCAAAAATATCTGTCCTGGGGTCTCATTTATAAAACTGTGCGTAGAATCTTCACTAAAAGTGTACGTGTGCCCAAAAGCCAAAAATGGCATACACCAAATAATATTCAGACTTATAAAACCGTGCGTACGCACATCTGTAAGCAATGTTCCCTTTATAAATCACAATCATCTTGAAATGTGGCGCATGTGACGGAGCTCCATGTCCGACCCTTCAAACGCCCATAGTTGCCTATAAATCTTAGAACAGAGCCAACATGAAGATTTGGTAGTACAAACAAAAGTAAAACTCTCTTCCAGTAATAAGGAAACTCTTCACTATCCCCATGTCCCTGTTGGTGAGGGGAGGGTAAGGCCTGTGTTGCACTGCATGAGACAAATGGTGGTCACACATTTTTCAGTGGCCTTTTATTGTGGCCAGCCTAAGGCGCACCTGTGCAATCCCCATGCTGCCGGATCAGCATCTTGATTTGCCACACCTGTGAGGTGGATGGATTATCTCGGCAAAGGAGAAGTGCTCACTAAAAACAGATTGTTGACAGATTTGTGAACAATATTTGAGAGAAACAGGCCTTTTGTGTACATAGAGAAAGTCTTAGATCTTTGAGTTCAGCTCATGATTAATGGGGGCAAAAACTATGGAGCACCCCTAGGCCCACTTAGTCAAAACAATAAATTATAATTACCTCGTGGCCTCAAGATACTATCTTTAGCATTCTCAGATAATCTCTGAGATTATAAAGTGCACCATATGTTGGCAATCACAGGGCGATCTGGGCGATCACAGCTACTGCTGTTAGCTAGCGCTGCCATTGCCATAGCATAACTCACCCCTAATTTTATATAAAATTAAATCAAATAGTCTCTATCCATAGTTTTCACCCAAGGAGTGCTTTAAGCTAGCAGGCACTGTGCACTCTCTGCTTTGGGGAGAAAAGCACTCCATTGTGCAGGCTCCTTTCATATACACTTATCTTGAGGCCACGAGGTAATTATAATTTATTTTTTGACTAAGTGGGCCTAGAGAGGCCCTGTAAAAAACAAAAGTGTTACGTTTATAATTTTGTTCAATGTATTTCTGTATTTATTTTTGATTGTGTCAGTATCTGCTCTTGCTGTAAGGAAAGGTTCGGGGTACGTTTGAAAATCAGATTTTGGGGAAGTGTACAGACATGATGTCCCCCATCAGTAGAGGAATGTGAAAACACCACTCTAGTGACAAACTTTGTCTGCACAAATACATATTTGATGAATAATGCAACTTAATAAGATGCATGTAATAGTATGAAAGATTACATGAGGCATCCTACTTATGAAATAATAATCAGGATTGAATTAATTAATTTCATGGCATTAAACTGTCAACAACATATTTTTAAATCTTAACCTATCATGTGTTTCATCTTGTCCCATTGTATTCTTCATGTGGTGTGCCATGGTAACATTCTGTGGCAGACACACAGCACTGTTTGGCTAATTGGAGCATAGCATGTTTACTTTCACACCAATGACTTTCACCACGGGAGAAATGTGATGGGAAGAAGATGGAGGAGGAGAGGAGGGAAGAGGAGGAAACATAGGGGGATTTGAGGATTTCCTTTAGTTTGATTGGAGAATAGCTTTAAAAGTAGTAATAATAAAACATACCATAATTTTGTGTTTCTGTGTTTGACAGATGCATGTTGTAAAAAATAATTAGGTCAATATTTTATGAAGGATCTGAATTTGAGCATTTTAGTTCTGAAATGAATTCATTAATTTGCATTTCAAAGACCCGCAAGGGACTCTGCAGAGATTAATAAAAAGTTTAACCCTAGCATACTTTATATGACTGTTAGCCTTTTGTGACAGGCAGATAACTGTGTTCCTGTGTGCAGTACAGCATGACTACAGCATCCATCTGCTGCTCTGCTGCTTCTTTTTTTCTCTCTCTTAATGTCTATGCTTAACATTTCTCTCTTGCATGCTCTGCCCCCTTTTGTTCCCCCTCTTTCCTTTAGTCTCTCCTCCCCCTCTATCCTAGTCTCGACTACTTCTTTTTCCTATTTTCTTGTCTCTCCATTCTCCCCATGTCTTCCCTATTCAGCTCTGCCTGCCCTAGATGTACATAAATACTGTGAATGCCAGCAAAAAGCATGATTACTCCGTAGGCTGGATTCCCCATCTTTCCCTCCCTCCCTCCCTCCCTCCTTGTCTCTTTCATCATCTCTCCTCTCATCACTGCTTCACTCTCAGGTCTCCTGGATGTAGACTGGGAGCAGCAGACCAGGGACAGAGGAGCAGAGAGAGAAAGGGGAGGAGGTGCTGGAGAAGAAGGAGGAGGAGGAAGGTGTGGCCTCCTTTGGTTGCCATCAGCAATACCCCTGACAGTCACAGCCTCAAGTCCCTCCCCTTCCACTTCCCCGTCCCCCTCCCCCCCAGGACGGAGGCGGAGGGAGGGGGAGGATTGCATGCATGCTGCAGCAGTAATACCAGAAGCAAGAAGAGCATCGCTCATTCCTCCTCCCAGACTCCCCATCCTTTACTCCACTTCCGCTCGAGCTCCAGAGGAGGAGGCTGCTGGCTGCGGAGGCTTACCCAGACGGAAGGCTCCCTTCTCTGGCTACGGCCCCAGCCCAGGCCCCGTCCCCGGCTCTGGATCCCCCGCTTCTCCCATGGAGCCTCTACCCACCCAGGGACAGACTCTAAGGCACTACACCGCCTCCCGACCACGGCCGCGACGCACACACACACAGCCCCCCTCCCCCAGGCCTCAGGTAAGAACATACATACCCATAAAAACTAATGACCATACATACACACACAAACTGTAATCAGGTAATGCAGAAATGACACAGAATTTGCATTTATACATACACAATGATACATATGCATACAAAACATTCTTTATACAGGCATATATGTATTACCACAGTAAAAGGCGGAAAGCAGGATGCAAGGACGGAAAGATGAGAGAGAGATGAAGGATAGAGGGAATGCTAGGTAGTGAAGTAGGAAGCAAATTGCATGACTACAGAGGGTTCCCTGAGGAGAAAACGGTGGGAATCTAGAAAATTAAAGCAACATGCCATACGAAAAACAGAAGGAAAGGTGATAAATGTAGGGATAGAGAGTATTCTGTTCATATGATTGGATCCTTAGGTAATGCAGCAAAACACTATCTATCTATCTATCTATCTATCTATCTATCTATCTATCTATCTATCTATCTATCTATCTATCTATCTATCTATCTATCTATCTATCTCTCGCGCTCTTGCTTTCATTTCTATAATGCTGTAGTAATAATGGTAGCCATCTTTATCTTTGCATTCTCCTGCTCCGTGTAGTCGTGCTCACCGCGCGTGTATGTGAGTGCGTGTGTGAGAATAGGCAGATGCATTTTGGGAGTGGTGTTCCCTGGGTTGTTCCCAGTGCTGATTTCTTTCTCTTTCTCTCTCCCTCTCTCTCCTGGGAATGCTTTCACTAACTCAATTATTCATGTTTTCACATTAATGGGGGTCTCTTTCTCGGTGCTGTCACTGTGTCATTGGACAAATAGGGTTTCTCTTCTTCCGTGGTGACCTTGTGTGTGTGAACACAGTGGCTTACCTGCAAAAGCCTGTAACTTGCTCAAAATCTTTAACTGTCAGAAGTAATATTGATGTCAATGAAAATGTCGCTGCCATCAGAATGACAAGTCCTTGTGCCACTGTTTACAAACAAGATCGTCAAATTGTTTAGCCATGTTGTCATATAACAGTGTACTCTGTTAGGATTTTCTGATGTTATCTATAGCTAAGGTTTGGATGACAATGACCACGTACCATGCTGCACTTTTTCTGTATGGCATGCATCAACTTCAACAGTATAAAGTTATACATTACTGTATGTGCGAGACTGATTGCAAGAGATTGGACAAGATTCACAGTTCCGCCTTTACTGTTTGTCATTTGTTGACAGACCATTCATTATTGATCTGTCATTGCAATACAGAAAAATACAACAGCACTTCATAGCACAAAGACTTAAATACAAAATGAGGAATGTAAACATAAGAAACACCCCTTAGGGCACAACTGTACCTCTAGGGCTGACCCCCAATAGTCGAAGATTCGATGCTTCGATGGGCGGAGCCTGATTCGACTGTCAATCTCACAGTCAAAGCTTTGCAGTGAAACAAGGATCATGCCATTTTGGTATAGGGGTGCTCGATGTCTGATTTTACATAGAACTACCAGTTTTCTCCCAATAAGTTAATATACAGCCTATTACAATATACATTTCAACGTTTAATGCTGTAAATAAACATGTAAAAAGAAAAAAAAACTTTCAGTAAATGTTTTTAAAGTGCGTGAATAAATCCAAAATTGTATCTCTAACCCTGGGTCGTCAGTGCGCATGTGTGTGGTGGCGGAAGAGGAACACTTGCTGAAGAGGTCCATAAAGACACGGATGAGAAAGTTTGGTGTGGAGAACTTGACTGGCCTGCACAGAGTCCTGACCCCAACCCGATAGATGAATTAGAGCGGAGACTGCGAGCCAGGCCTTCTCGTCTGTGCCTGACCTCATGAATGCGCTTCTAGAAGAATGGTCAAAAATTCCCATAAACACACTCCTGAACCTTGTGGAAAGCCTTCCAGGAAGAGTTGAAGCTGTTATAGCTGCAAAGGGTGGGCCAACTCCATATTAAACCCTACGGATTAAGAATGGGATGTCATTAACTTTCACGTGCATGTAAAGGTAGGCGTATAGTGTACAATCGGGAGTCTGCACAGGGTGTTTTTGTTTTGAAAATTGTTCGGATTCTCTATGCCGTTTTTGTGTCTGATATCCTGCTAAGTTCATTCACTCTGTGCTGCTTAACGCGGCTTCTGTCAAAAATAGACTCACTGCGTATTCTCCAGAGAGCAAAGCAGAGCAAAGAGCCGCTTCTGAAAGAAACTGGTGGGCTCACAAGCATTGTCTAGAATGGCCACACTGAGCTCTGGTGGCTGGCTGTGACGGAAACACAACCCAGCTTTACCCGGTGGAATCCAGCCTCCAACACCCAAAGAATAGGGCTCCAAATGGTTTTATATTAGAGTAGTGGTTTTGATATACTGTATGCATAGAACAAAAAAATGCTGTTCTTTGGAGCATGACAAAATTTTTCTTTAGGCTTGTATGATCAGAAGCTTATTTGGTGCTAAAAACAACCATTTTACAAAAGTTATATATAGCATTATGCTAAATTGGTTCTACATAAAACATTTATTATGGCATGAAGAACACAATGACACAACTTTTTAAGAACCACAGTAACAGATTCTAAGGCAGTACACCTCCCCCTGACCACAGCTTCGACACACACACACACACACACAGCCCAGTTACTGTTATGTATTTTTATAAGACAGGGGCTTTGTCGAGTCATTACTGTTTTATTATATATAGCAGCCAATCCAGAACAATAATCCAAATACATTCAATACTGACAGTATTATTTCTGCTTACAGTTTAGATAGCACCCAGTACTGACTGGCTCAGCAGCCTTGTAGCCTGAAAGATGGGGGTCAATTCCTGGTCCTTCCTGTGTGGTATTTTCTATGGATAGGAATTTATGCCAAAATACTGTTCAGTGGTCACTGGGAACTATTCCACCATTCTTCGAAGATCACGCCCAGTCTCACGCCCAACCACTCACCCACACACACACAAGACAAAGACAGTGTGCTTCGCTTCCCAAATGATTATGAATTGTTTGTGGACTTGTAATATGCTAGCTTTACCTGTGTTACCTTTTCCAGATTTTTGGCCCTGAACTGTATCTAGGAGCACACTGGTTTTTAAAACTAATTTCGCCTGGCTCGTAAGATGCTAATGTATGACCAGGCCTTTTCACACTTCATTTTAGCACTGTGCCAGCGCTGGAGCATGTAGGAAAGTATGGAGCTGGTAACTAGCAGTCAGTTAAAAGCAAAACAGGACAGAAATAAAAAGAAAACAGGTTAGGCTAAATCGATTACAGCTTAAAAGCATCTTGGGTTTTGAGTGCAGTTTTGAAATTTGCAAGCGATGTGGAATGCCTGAGGCGATGGGGGAGAGAGTTCCAGAGGGAGGAGGCAGCAATGGAAAAGGGTTTGAGAAAGAATACATCCATAATTTTTTTTCTGTGAGAGAGAAGACTGAGGTTTGTGAGGGGGGTAGTCTTCTCCAGGTGTCTTCACAACAGTGGAAATGTAGCCCATAGTGCCATATGATGTGACCAAGGGGAGCATGTAGAGGATGAAGAGGAGGGGACCAAGCACAGCACCTTGGGGGACTCCCTGCGAGACTGGGGCAGTGTTGGATTTGGATTTTGTATAATTTTAACCAGTAGAGGGCATTGACAGTGATGCTGAGGGAGGATCCAAGGAGGCAAAAAAGGATGGAGTGGTTGATTGTTTCGACAGCAGAATGAATGAATGAGCGAATTAACTTCTTTATTGATTGTAAATATAAAAGTGGAGATACCATCAAAGGATAAAAACACAATAAAGCCAGATGGCTTATTTCTATTGTGGTCAGTTTTTGTAAGGCAAATGGGTAGGGGCATCATGAAAAGGCATCCAGGTAGTTATTAGCAGCTTCCCAGTATATTTTTTTTCTTAAGAAAAGTAAAATTCCATAACAATATAATTTACAATAATACTAATGCTTACACATTGCTATATACAATACAATACTATTTCTGTCACAACATTACTATACAATATATAAGGAAAAATTAAGCAAAATTAACACTGAGATTTAAAACAGCAGCATATTGCAACATTCATGATATTTATTTTATAATTGTTATTGTGAGGGGAATCAGCCACTCAGCCATTTTTTTTGTGAGGACTTAAACCTAACTAAAAGAGCTGATCATCTTAATGCTCATGGGTAGCCCATTCCACATAATGGCAGTTGAATACAGGAAAGTGTCCTTCCCCATACAACTCTTAAACCTAATGGGAAATTGAAAATCAGTTGTACTCCCTCTTGTGGTGTAATTATTCTCAACAACCCTCAGCCATTTAAGGCTGATGAAATGAGCGGGAAGAAGATGTGTCCTAGATGGAAGTTTAAGGACCCATCGCACCAATGTCTTTTGCAATGTCTGCAGCTTCTTTTTGAGGATCATAGGTGCACTTATATACCAGGAGAGGCGTGCATAATCAAAATGACACTAGATTAGAACCCTTGCCAAGGTTACTACTCTGAGATTTGAGATTCTAGCCAGAAATCTGTTTCATTGGTTGATTTTAGTGAGCACCATCTAAGCCATGCTCTCTCCTGATAAATGATTGTCTAAGACACAGCCTAAGTAATTGACAGATTTCTTGGCTTGGATCTCAGTGTCTCCCACCACTATCCTAAAATCTATGGCTGTCTTTAGCTTTAACTTTGATCCAAATAATATGGCCTCTGTTTTACCAAAATGGAGACAACCATCGACTGATATGAAATAATTTTAAGCTCAGGACTTTTTCGACCTCAGATTTATCCTTGTGTGATACCAATAATGCAGAATTATCTTCATATAAAAAAAGGTCACATGAGCAAGCAGATTTCACATCATTAATATACAATAGAAAAAACAGTGGACCTAAAATACTTCCCTGGGGGATCCCACATTCTAGAAACAAAGGTTTGGATAGAATCTCACCCACATCCACCATTTGTTTCTTACCTCCAAGACATGAACCAATCCATTTTATGGCTAAACTGTCAAATCCCAATGCTTTTAATATCATTAATGGAATAGCATGAT